AACAATAACAACGACACCACCACCACCACCAACAACAATAACAACGACACCACCACCAATAACAACAATAACAACGACACCACCACCACCACCAACAACAACAATAACAACGACACCACCACCAATAACAACAATAACAACGACACCACCACCACCAACAACAACAACAATAACAACGACACCACCACCACCAACAACAACAACAACAAGAGTAACAGTGATAACAGCAACAGCAATAACAACAACGGACAAAGTAAATAATCGATGTATATATTGTAAAATATGATATATTCTGTAGTTAACGAGTTCAACAATGCCAGTGACTAATACAATAGTAACAAGCATAACTAGTTCGACTGTTGAAAAAAATAGTAGTGTCATGCTTACTACAACTAATCTATCTAATATGAATAAAAGCACATCAAGTGCTATTGATGCAATCAATTCGACTCTTTTAACAACTCGTATTACTACAAAAAATCCAGTTTTGTCAATGAATACTACAATAAATATAATGACAAGCACCAGTACAATAATAAATCGAATTAATTCTACAATAATTAGTTCAACATTGAGTGTAAGTTGATTGATTTGGCTAATATCATATAATTAATATTCTATTTTATAACTAAAGTCATCATCAAAAGATCGATTATCTTTTAAAAGTAAGAAAACAAATACCAAATACAATTTATTAAAAAAAACGTCTGTTTTTTTTTGTATTTATTATTTAGTTGAAGTCAGTGTTTTATTGGTTAATTTTGTTCTATTTGCATTTCGACATTAATCATCAAGAAAAAAAAAACTAATTAATAAAATTTTCGAGTTCATCGAAAATATTTCAAAAATTAAACCGTTTCAAATATCCGCAAATATTTTTTTGCTTTTCTTTTTTATTAATTTTCATAAATAGTTAATGTTTTGTTTTGTCTATGAATAAAATAAAAATCATTGTCGAAGGCATGATGATAAAAATGTTAGAATAAACTTCGACGAACATAAAATTTTTATCGAAATTGTATTTGAATTAATCATATTATTGTCTTTTCAGGTACTTTCATAAAAATAAAAGTAACTGTTAAATTTCATGAATTCATCCTAGATTAAGTATAGCAACCAAAACTAACTGAAATCTTTGTTGAAAAAGTTTAATGAGAGTGAGGAATGGATTTTGCTTAAAATTCTGAAGGGTTTCTATCCAAAGGAATCATTCAAAGTCTTTGCAGAGATAAAGACAAGGCAAGATCTCGGTTAGCATAAGCGATGAAACCTTTAGGCATGGAGAGCCTCGAGACTTTCTAAAAAATGTAGATGGAACTCAAATTTTGGAGAACATTTTTATAAATCTCATCCAAAGTTTTTCTTTTGTTAGCAAAAGCTCTGTCAATAATAATTGTTTTGCGCTTTTATGCAAGGATGTGGGTGTGATTGTGTCTAAAAGAAGATTAACACCTACACCAACATCCTTAAGAAATTGAAATACCATAATAACTTAATCCTAATGATCCAATAAGAAAAGCAGTATGTCAAGAAAAAGACTCGATCAATATCTATATTAATTCTTTATCAGTATATTTTTCGGTCCATTGATCAACAATAACACAAATTTACAAATTTTTTCACAAAGCCTCATTAGTTGTTTTCTAGCAACATTATTAATTTGATTAATTTCTCTACTTATCTTAAATTATAGGAAACACTTAAACAAAGTCAAGTAAAACTGTATCAAAGCTATTAATTTCTTACTGTAGTTGTATGTAGAATTAGTTATTAGACATTTATTGAAGAAGTATGGAGTAGACGACCAACATCGAATACTGGATCTACAAGAGCTTTGAAACCATCTCCTGCCATTGTCTCAGATGCTCTATTATCAGTTCATGTGAAGTGAACCAGGGTGTGGGTGTGGGTGGTGTGGGTGTGGGTTGGTGTGGGTGGTGTGGGTGTGG